AAAGGTAAATACTACTACATACACAATACTACATTATCAGTAATAACAAACATTAACCTACAAGTGGATACACAGGTCGACAGGCAAGATGACAGGTATGGATAGGTGAATGGAAATATACGCATGACCATATACAGGCTTGGTGGATTCTATTTCTATATAAATATTTGGATGTGCTATAAAAATCTACATATATGTAATAGAGAACTGGGGGCAAAGTTATGTAACTTCTTAGCTACCAAACACCCTGAGGGAGTAACTGGGCCTATGACCTTGGGACCATGGTCTCAGAGATCAAGCTTAACTGACAGTACACAAAAACATTTTTCTACATCCTACTTTGGTGAGAAGTGACCAGCGTCTTAAAACCTTACCAGTGGCCATCTAAGATACAAGTACTGGTCTCTCCTCATCCACGACAAAGAAGAGTGAAGAAAACAAACATGCACAGAAACAATTAGTCCAAGGGTGCAAAAACGGCAAGGAGGCCACATGTTCTGACCTCCTCTAACCCTACAAGGGGAAGGCAGGATTCCCAGCAGTAACCCAAGGCCTATTACTGCAAGGCCAGACATGCTGCCTCCCTCCAGCCCTTTTACCAACCGTTCCTCCCAAGGCACCCACCACCTCTCTCCTGGGTTTGATAATTCATTTCAGTGGCCACACAGAACTCACAGATTATGGGGTTTATTAGGGAAGCACCAGGCTACAACTCAAGTCCAGGAAGAACGCTCAGTCTCTCTCCCAGCCCACCGTCCCTCAGCCAAGAGTCTCTCACAGTCTCTTTCTCAGCAGTGCTGGTCCCTCGGCGTCTCACTCAGTGATGTGTGTCTCTTGCGGCTCTTTCCCAGCAGCACGTGTCTCTTTCAGGGGTGCGTGTCTCTTTCGGCAGCACGTCTTCCTCCACCAGCAGTCAGAGAGAGAGTTCTGCCTCTAGGAGGCCTCCTTTTGAGCCCGGCAGGGTGGTCAAACTAGCCAATCATAGCATCAGAACTCTAAGCACGTGAGAGAGAGTGGGAACTTCCCAGAACATTGTATTGTGCCACGCCCAACAGAAATAACCCAGGTGGGCGACTTTAAAATCAGGATCTCCTCCGTAGCTAATAGCAATTCCCACCTTAGAGTTTACAAAGACTTATGGGTAGAAAAGCCACACTAAGTAATTTACTACACCGCAAAGGGGCTAGTGGACCATGGGCACCTCAGTCAACACCACCCTGATACCAGCATAACTAGGTGGTACCCACTATCACTGATAAGTCCTCAGAAAGGGACCAAAGTTGGAGATTCTGGAGGAAGATGTGAAACAAAACTCAAAATCTAAAAAAAGACTAGGCTTACTGGTCTGACAGAGACTATGGCCCCTTGTCACCCTTTGGGTTGGAACTGAACTCACTTCTGTGTCTTAACCTTCAGGCAAACAACAGGCCTATGACATGACAATGAAATGCAATCTTTAGAACAAAAAAACAACGGAGATCAGAAGGACAGCAATTGTGCATGGAGAAAACTCAGCAGGCAGGAATGAATAGGAAAGGACATAGAAAAGGAATGAAAAGAAAAAGTAACTACAGGGATAAAGTGGGAAGAGACCTGTTGTGGGGATTGCAATCAATGTCATGAAACAAAATACGTGTGAACAGTTGAACAAAAAACAAATATGCTTTGTCAACTTCCACCTAAATCATAATAAAAAGTTAAAGAAAAAAGAAAAAATGGCTTAAAACTTGCCAAATTGTTGAAAAACAATAATCTACATATCCAGAAAGCCCAATAAACTCAAAGGAGGAAAAATTGAAAATAGAATACACAGACACTTCAAAATAGAAATGCTGAAAGTCAAAGAAAAGGAGAAAATCTTGAAAGTAGCAAGAGAAAAACTGTAATACTTTTAAGCGAATAACAGTAAGAATTGACTTCTCAACAGCCACAATGGAAGACAGAAGGTAGGGTGAGATAACATACTCAAAATGCTCAAAGAAAAAGTCAAGCAAGAATCCTAAGCCATCACTCAAAAATGAAGGTGAAATAAAGACTTTCCCAGATAAACAAAAAGTAAGAGAATGTGACGGTGCTTTATAAAAAATACTAAAGGAAGTTCTTCAGGCCAAAAGCAAAAAAGAGCAGTGGTAAACGTAATTATGCAATTATAAAAACACTATAAATGCATAATACTTTTATCTCATTTCTGCTCTCATTTCAGAATAATGTATGAAATAATATGTATATGATGTATTGTAGAATGTATTACTTTTAGATGTAATAAATTTCCTAATAACAGCACAAAAGAGGTGGGCGGAAACAAAGCTGTAATAAGCTAAAGAAATGACTACAGATAGTGAAGTAAAAATTGTAACAATATGTTGTTCAGTTTGTGACATTAACAGATAGAATACGTACAGCCACAATGCCATGAAAAGGTGGAAAACGGAATAGTAACAGAGGAGTAAAGGTTCTCTATGTATCACTGGAATTAAACAAGGACAAATCTGATAATAATTTGGGCATGTTGAAGATGTATATGGTAAAGCTAGGGCAATCACTAAAATAAACTTAAAAAAGTATAGTGAATAAGAGAAATTAAAATGCTACATTAAAATTTTAAAAGCCACTTAATGCAAAAGAAAGCTGTAGAAGAGAAAAAGAAAAATGACATGCGATATACAGAAAGCAAAAGTAAAAGGTACATGTAAATTGCACCATATCAATAGTAACATTAATTGTAAATGGATTAAATAATCCAATAAAAATGCAGATTGTCAAAACAAACCGAAACCAAACCCACTGTTGTGAAGTCAATTTAGACTCGGTGAAGGGAGTCAGACTACAGGACCGAGGAGAACTCCCTCACAGGGTTTCCAAGACTGTAAATCTTTACAGAAACAGACAGTCACACCTTTTTCCCGAAGAGTGGCTGATGAGTTCAAACTACTGACCTTTTGGTTAGTAGCCAAGCACTTTAACCACTATGTAAACAGGGCTCCTCATACTGCCAAACTGGACAAAAAACACTACCCAATTATGTGTTCTCTATAAGAGATGAGCTTTAGATTCAAAGAGACTGAAAGTAAAAGGATGGAAAAAATTTATCATGAGAGTAGCAATCACAGGAAAGCTTAAGTGGCTATACTAACATAACATAAGATAAACTTAAAAAATGTTACTAGAGATACAAAGAGACATTTTATAATGACAAAAGGGTCAATCAATCAGGAAGATATAACAATTACAAACATATATGCACCTAAAATACCTGAAGCAAAAACTGACAGTAATGGAAAAATAAATAATTCAATAATAATAGCTGGAGATTCAGGTACTCAATTTTCAATATAGACAGAACAACCAGACAGAAGATCAATAAGGAAACAGATGTCTTGGAACAACAATTAAAACCAACTAGATCCAATGGACATCTAAAGAACACTCCATGCAAAAACAGGAGAATATACATTCCTCTCAAGTGCACATGGACCAATCTCTACTGGCTTTAAACAACCAATAGGTCAAAGAGGAAATCAAATGGGAAATCAGAAAATACTGAGATGAATAACAAGCTACAACATTTCAAAAGTAAGGGATGCAGCTAAAGCAGTGTTTAGAGGAAAATGCATAGCTGTGTTGTTGTTGTTATGCATAGATGGCTGTATTAAAAAAGAAAGTCACATCAACAATCTTACCTTACATCTTAAAACACTACTGAAGAGCAAATTAAATCCAGAAAAAGAAAAAGAAAAAAGAGCAAATAAAATCTTTAAGGAAGCAGAAGGAAGAAAGCAACAAAGATGAGAGCAGAAATTAATAAGATAGAGATTAGAAAAAGAGAGAAAATCAATGTAACCGAAAACTTCTTCTTGAAAAAGACTGACAAAATTTAGCCAAGACTGATTAAAAAAAAAAAAGTAGCAACAGTGAAAATTCAAAAGACAAGAATCAGAAAAAGAGGAGAAATTATTACTACCTTGTTGTTGTTGTTGTTGTTGTTATGTGTCATCGAGTCAGCCCCGACTCATAGCGACCCCTCCCCTTGGGTTTCCAAGGCAGTATCACTACAGAAGTAGATTGCCCAACCTTTCTTCCAAGGAGTGCCTGGTGGGTTTGAACTGCCAGCCTTCTGGTTAGCAGTCAAGTGCCTCAGACAGCCACTCCTCAGAAGGAAGGTTGGGGAATCTACTTCCGTAGTGATACCATCCCAGAAACCCAAGGAAAAGTCGCTATGAGTCAGATCCTAACTCGACGGCAGTGGGTTTGGTTTTTTTAGGAGCTCTGGTAGCATAGTGCTTAAGGCACTTGACTGCTAACCAGAAAGCTGGCAGTTTAAACCCAGCAGCCACTCCTCAGAAGGAAGATGGGGCAATCTACTTCCGTAGCGATACTGCCTCGGAAACCCACGGAGGGGTTGCTTTGAGTCGGGTCTGACTTGACAGCACATAACAACAACAATTACTACCTTATAGACATAAAAAAGATTAGCGTTACCCTGATACCAAAGCCAGACAAAGATATCACTAGAAAACTACCAAAAGAAAGAAAAGAAAAAAAAAAAAAAAAAAACCTTACTGCCCTTAACTTGATTTCCGACTCATAGCAACCTTATAGGACATAATAAAATTGACATGTGGGGCTTATAATTTTTTATGAATATGGATGTAAAGATCCTCAACAAAATACTAGCAAATCCAGCAACATATAGCAAGAAATATACTCCGTGACCAACTGGCATTTCTTTATTCTAGAAATACAAGGTTAGCTTAGTATCTGAAAATGAATTAATGTCATACAAATCATATCTACAGAATGAAAATGAACATGATTTATATTTGTAAAAAAACTGTCCAGTTAAAACAATATAAACTATTAATACATTGATGTTTCTATTATCTACTTCTATAAGAATCAATAACAAATTATAAATTATTTCTTAAATTATTCAAAAATCATGTATGGTTGAAATCACTCATATGTATTCTTTTACAAAAATGATAATTAAAAAACCCTACCCAACGTGAGGGATCACTGATCAGATTAATAAATAGTGCTGACAATTTAGTCCGTCGGATTTCTTGACATGTTGCACATGAAACTGCCATGAAGCACTCAGCACAGGCCTTCCGAACTCCCCATACGTTATCAGAACAAAGCTGGAAAAACCTGGGCAGCTATACAAAGAGGACAGGGATTTTTAGGCAAACAACAGACTAGATTTCAGTAATTGCTTTTACTTCATTTTCTGCTTTCACGCTGTCTTAAAATATTAGATTTTCTCAACAAGTAAAAAATCTACTTACCATAAATAGTAAAAAATAAAACATGAATCACACTTAACTGCCAATACAATGACTACGCAAAAGAAATATCACCTTACAAATACAGCTTAAATGTTATCCAAGAGCTTAGATTTAAATTTGTTTTGCTTAACAGATGGTTTCAGAAACTTCAAGTAGATTAACTTATACATCAAGCATCTATAGCTCACATAATAACATTTAAAAACAGCCTGCTATAGATTTAACAAGTTACCAAAATGGCGTGAGGGTTGCAATAAATTTTATAGATTCATTTGTATAAGAATTCATTTGTATGACAGAGGTGGGGAGAGGTAAAAGGGATCAAAAGGTTCTTAAATCATTTGCATTTTTTACAAACCATCTGCACCAAGACATAATTCAATTACCCAGATTAGAGAATTCTGAACTCCTACTAAACTCGAAGTCATATTATCTTTGTAATTTACATTCATGGGAACATGCTAATAAAATTTTGGTGTAAATGTATGCATTTCAAACTTCACATACTGTTTGTATTGCATTGATTATACCTTCATATATGTAATACTTACCAACATTTCCTCAGTAGCTTGCTGGCCAACTACACTGCAAATATCTCCAAAATTGGCAGCACAGACCTACCAACAAAAGCATCAATGACATTTCAAAACATTACATATAGAGTTCTGTAAGAATAAACTTTTAAATGTCACATATAAATACATTAACCACTAGAACTATGTGTTCTTAAACAGAAGAAAACTGATGACAAAATATACCTTTCGAACATGAAACATTCTACAATCACAGCACATCTCGCAAAACCGTGGGAGAATAAGACGCTCGGTAATGTCCTTCCCAACCATAGGAGCCATTTTGCACATTATCTGAAATAAATGAGGACAAAAAAACCACACTGAAAATGTATTCAAATTAAGATTTTTTCAGTTAAGTTTCTACTTAATAATATTATAGAACTTAAGAAAATATAAAACACAAAGGGCCGAAATCCATTAAATGGGGAAAAGAATGTTCAACAAACGGTGCTGGCAAAACTGGAGATCCATTTGCAGAAAAATGAAACTAGATCTGTACCTCACACCATAAACAAAAATGAACTCTAGACGGATCAAAGACTTAAATGTGAAACCTAAAACAATAGAGCTCCACAAGGAAACACTATGGACAAATTTAGGGGCCCTAATATATGGCATAAATAGACTA